ACAGACACTTGGTCTATTCAACTCTGGCATTTTTTAAACTTGCAAGGGGGCCTTTGAGACTATCAACTCCAACTTCCTGGCTTAACAGATGGGGAAACTGAGGCCCCAAAGGGTCCTTTTATCTAAGGACATTTGCCAAGGAAAGTCTGTGAGAGAGAAAAGCGAGAGCACCTCATTCTTCATCTGGGCTCTAGTCTCAGCTCTCACTGGTCACTGATATGGGTGAGATTTACCTTCCCTGGGCCCAGCATCTCTGTGCCCTGCCTAAGCTCCAAGGCACCTCGGCAGAGGGCCTGCTGGGCTCCTGCACCCAGCCTGGGGCTCTGCTGTGAGTTCCAGGGGCCTGGAAGGTCCCCATTCATCCCACAGAGCAACTGGGAGTAGGGAGGGAGGAGCAAAGTCCAGTTGGGTTAGAAACCAGCTCAGAAGCTGGCCCCCCACTTACGACTTCTTCCTCCTCGCTGCAGACAGGCACCTCAACATGCCAGGGAGAAGCCATCAGTTGCAGGCAGTATCGGGGTCCTTGCAGAGGGCTGTGCTGGCCTGGATTTCGGGAGCAGGGCTGGACCAAGGGCTGGCTCCCGCTGGGAGAGGGCAGGGCGACCACCGCAGACCACATCCTGAGCAGCTCAGCAGCCGGGGCAGGCTTCCCCACACACTGTGTACACATCTCAGGGATTATTTGCATGAGTGGGCTCAAGGCTGACTTCAAGGGATTAAGCAAATGGGGTGCTGGGCCTTCCTGGCCAGTGAGACATAAGCAGTAGAGAAAATCTGTTTACAGCCCATCCCCAGGGGCTGGGCAGTGTTTATGGGGAGAGGCCCAGGCTCTGCCCTCTGGCCTGGGATACAGGCTGAGCAGCCGGAGGGACCTTGTGTTTGTACAGGGGACCCATTGTTACTAGTCAGCAAGGCTTTTGGCCTGGAAGGAGAGCCGCCCGTGAAAACACTCGTTGGGGGCCTTTTGTGGCTGGGAATGGGTGCTGGGGCTCCCATACACTGGTGGGGCTGACTTGGCAAGAAAGAGCCCGCCCCCCACCTCCCCCAGTGGCGGGGCCCAGGAACCCATGGCCAGGCGGCCTTCTGAGGCTGGGTCCAGCCCTGGTTCAGTGTTAGAGGAGGCAGGGGCCAGACCCTTTGGGGCTTAGGGACTTTGATCAGGGGTTTGTGTTCCCCTGAGAACTGGAGTTGCTGCTGCAGGCTCTTAAGCAGGGAGTGATAGGATGTCGTTTGCATTTTGAAAAACTCTCTCTTTTATTGACGTGACAGCACATGATCACAGTATATAGGCTTCAGGTGGCCAGTCTGGTCAATCAGTGTCCGCAGCCACCAGTTATGCTTCACCCTGACCCTGCACTTGGCCGCTATTACCCTGTTCCTCCACCACCCTTCCCCTCTGGTCGCCACTGTTGTGTTTTTATAGCCTGTTTGCTTTTGTTTTGTTCTGTTCATTTATTTGGTTTCTTTATCTCCCACATACGAGTGAAATCATCTGGCTCTGAGTTTTCTGTCTGACTTATTTCACTCAGCACGATGCCCTCAAGGTCCAGCCACGTGGCAAATGATAGGGCTTCATCTTTTTTATATTTGGGTATGTTCCCCTGCCTGCCGCCAAGTTCTTTTGTTCTTAATCAAGGTGGCTGAAAGACTGATTTAAGAAATTTTAGATTTTAGTAAATGTTCCCTACATGGGGGAAAAAGATCTCTCTGGCTACTTAATGGATAAAGGAATCCTAGAGAGAGGTGGTCAGGGTCCTGTCCCAGTGGTCCCGTGGGCAGGAAACACAGACAGCTTGGTGGGCTGTTTGGAGATAAAATGAGGAGATTGGACAGACGTGGGGACAGGGTAGTATGGGCAGCCTGGTGTCTTGATCAGGGTTTCAGCCTGAAGCTGATGAGCCACTGAATCGGGGTGCTTGGTGGGAGGTAGACAGCAGTGGGCAGTGGACAGTGCAATGATGCAGGGGCTGGGAAGCAAGGGGACCGTCCCCCGCAGGCTGAGGGCCTGGAGGAGGCAGGGCATGGCCACTGCCCCACAGCACCCAGGGAGTTTAGCTGCGGCTGATTCGTGGACACCCTGCAGAGAAGCTGCTGGGAGAAGCCTGACCTTGCTCTGCTCCTGCCACCCTCGCTGGGTCTCTCGTTGATCACAGCCAAGTAGCGGTCAGAGAGCAAGCGGGCTGCTGATGCTGCTCTTAGTGGTCACCTGTCGCCTGTTGGCCAGAGCAGGGGGCAGTGGATTTGGGGACAGAGCACCCCAGGGAGGGGGAGTGGCTCTCAGACTCAGGAGCGTTGTTTCAATGGCGGGAAGCCGGGCGTGTGGTGGGAGAGAGGATATTTTGGGGCATCCTGCTTCCATGTCTCATCAGTTACTGGAGGTTTTCTGGGGCCTCTGGCCTCTGAGCAAGCAGCTGGCCAGGTCCAGGGGTGTAAACTAAACTCCTAGCTTTTGCCCCCGGCAGAGTGCTAAGCTCAACCATGGCCCCATCCCAACCCAAGGAAGATGGGCCAGCCTGTCGGGCAGCCGGGCTTCCTAGCTCCGCTGCGGTGACTCAGCGAGAGCCCCACGTGGGCGTGGGACCAGGGAGGAAATTCTCTCCCGGCACGAGCTAATTCTGTCCTGCTGCTGGCAGCCAGGCCTGCTGCTGGAACATCCGCCGGGGCTGTGTGGTTTCGAGGTTCCCCAGACCCTCAGAGCGGGAGATCCAGGGATTATGAGCTCAAGGTGTCTCCTGGAGCCAGCTGTGGGGGCGGAGAGCCCCTTCTCTCTGGCCTGGAGGGTGAGGGGCGGGTGGCTGGGAGCATCCAGGGAGCTCTGCGGGCCTAGAGGGGTCTGGGGGAGACGGGGGCCTTTGTGAGGGGAGAGTGGGGCCTGGGGGGCCCTGGGAGACCCCTGCCTGGGCCTGGGCGCCTGGGCCCATGTCTAGGAGAAGGTCAGTGTTGGCTGAGAGGAGAACTGGGGTCTTGCTGGAGCAAGTGAGTGGCCGACTGCTGCCGGCTGCACTGACTGGGGCCCAGGAGAGGGATGTGGGCGGTGAGCTGGGGGGCGGCTGAGCTTCCAGGGGAGATGGGGCGGCAGCTTAGCAGGTGCTGAGTTTGATGCCCCTTGTGGCACCTGCCTGCTCAGAACGTCCTTTCTGTCAGGAGAGTGGTTGAGAGAGAAGACCTGTTCCACGGAGAGGGGAGGCAAGGAGAGGCAGGAAGAGAGGCGCACAGAGCTAGGGAGCGAGCGGCAGAGTCCTCGAGAGACAGAGGGCGCGAGGCCGCGACAGACACAGCGACTGGAGAGAGGGAGCGGGTCCTTGGTGGACTCAGGGCGCCCACTTGCCGAGGGGCTGGGGCCGTGACGCAGGGAGGAAGCGGAAGGCAAACATCTGCTGCCCAGATGCCGCCCCACCCCTGCCGGGGCCCTCAGGGACACGGGCAGCTGGAAGAGTGGGCTGGCCTCACATGGCCCAGCGGGTCCAGAGCCCTCACCGCTGCTTGCCAGGCATGTGACACTCCCCCCAGACCCCTGGCCTGGTCTCCGAGGGCCCCTGGTTAGGTAGGGCTGGTGACAGCGACCCTGTCGGCTCAGGGGGAGGGGAGATGAGAAAAAGCCTGTCTGCAGCGCCTGCAGTCTCACAGGGCCAGGGAGCAGCCAGATCCTTGCTTCTTGAGGGGCGGAAGAGTGAATGAGCCCCTCTGAAGGGTTTTCCCCGCAGCACCTGGGCTCCTGAGGCCTTTCCCACCCAGCCAGGAGCGGCAGGCAGAGGGCTTGTGTGAGAGGGGCTTCCAGGGAGCCCGGAACCTCGTCTTTCCCCTTCTGTAAAATGCACCACCTGCAGACTGCCAGACTGAGCTAGTGGGAGTTCTGGGCAAAGACCAGAGGGTTCTGGGAGATTCCACTGGGCAAAGACCAGAGGGTTCTGGAAGTTCCTAGGAGGTAAGGCAGGGAACAAGGAAAGTGAGCATTCGGCAGCTCAGCAGGTGCTGAGTTTGATGCCCCGCGTGGCACCGCCTGCTCAGAACGTCCTTTCTGTCCAGAGTAACTGACCTTGCAACCTGGGCCATCTGTGACCTTGGGCACAGCCCTTTCTCAGTCTCGGGTCCCTCAACTTCACTAGTGCTTCGAGCAGTTCCTGGAAAGCAATGGGGCCATATACATGTTTGTTTAATAAAAATTAAGCAAATAACATCTGCCTGAGGTTTTTGTTCTCCGAGGCTGGGGAACCAGATGTGGCCTTGAACCCGTGCCCCTTCCCCAGCGAGGGTCGGTGGCAGCGGTAGGGGTGTGGGCAGGGCCGTCTGTGGCAGGAGCTTCGACCTGGGAGCCAGCCGGTGGCAGCGGGGCTGGGCTGGCCAAGGAGGTGCCTGGGCCCTGGAGCGCATGGCGGCCTGGAAGCCTGGCACTTGGGCTGCTGCTGGGCTGGGGTCATCCAAGTTCATCCCCACCTAGCAGAGCAGGCTGGCAGGCGGGCCCTGCCAGGCTGCTGGGGCCCTCCCCACGCAAGGTCAAGGCTGCTTGTTTAGCCCTATGCCTGCCCAGCGTGGCTTCCTCAGGCATTCAGTGACCCAGGCATGAGCTGCCCAAGAGGGAACCCCAGACAGGGATTTGGGGTGCCTCTTTGGGGCTTTTCTGGGCCTCGGGGGGGTGGGCAGGCTGACACGACACGGCCACCCCCTCTGTCCATCCTCCTCTGCTTCGTTGGCCTCTGGAAGCCTCGGTGCTTTCCTTATTTTCTTTCTTTGCAGCCTTCATTTCCTTTCAGGCCCGTTTCCGACTCCTTCCCCTCCCACCTCCGCTCCCACGGAGCCGAGCTAATCTGTTCCCTGTGTATCTTGTTATTTGACTGTGTTCTTGCAAAGCACGCGCTCCTGTTTGCCAGGCCTGTTTTCAATGTACTTTTGCGCTATTAGGGTAGATGGTTTTAAGACTTAAGACACTCCGCGTTCCCTTGCTGTGCCTCTGCTTGGTGATCTGTCGCTCCAGCAGCTGCCTGGCTCTGGCGGTCCCTCTCCTGCCAGGGGCCTCCAGCTTCCAGCCATCAGCAGACGCCTCTGTGGCTGCCCAGTCCCCTGGATCCTGGACCCAGTTTGTGCTCGCTGTCTCCCCAGGGCCTCGCTCCTGACAGCCAGCACCTGTGGCTCTTTGTCGGCAAACTGCCCTCTGGGGCTGGGAGAGCCTGGGAACACAGCCACCCCCTTCCCCGGGACAGGGTGGGGAGATATAAATACTCTGCCTGCAGGAATGTGACCTCCATTGTTCCCTGAGCCCTGGCCCAAAGTCAAGGCCACCTTCCCTGGGGCTCTCCTGGCCCTGCAGCCCCAGCCTCCTCCCTTTCCCTATCCTACCTCTCCGCTCCCTTAGCATTTTTTTTAATACTTCCTTAATAAGCCAGGAGTCCTCATCTGAGGACTGGACAGCAGAAGCCAAGGCGTGCCTCCCCAGCTCTGTGCACAAGCGAGCCGTAGTGGGATTCGTGCAGGGCAGGGACACCCAACAGGGCTCATGGGTCCCCACAGCCTGGGGTCATCTCCAGGGGAAGGAGGTTCCAGGTTCCCTGCCCCACCCTAAGGAAGGGTGGAGCTGGGCAGGGAGGAGAAGCTAGAGAAGATGGGGAAGGAAGGATGGCGGTCAAGAAGACCTGGAGGAGCCACATGGAGCACAGACATGTGAAGAAGCCGTGCTTGCTTCTCGGCCCTGGACTTGTACCAGGACTTGGGGGACATGGAAGGAGGCACTTGACAGAGACGTGGGTGAGAGACCCTGGGGAGGCTGACAACGGCAGCCTTGATCTTGACTTGGATTTTGCTCTTTTCCTCCCAGGCTTGCCTGGCCCTTCTGCCCCTTTCCTGTGGGGCCCACCAGGAGGGGCCTTAGACTTGTGGCAAGTTTTCTGACCTCAGTGGTCCTGCTTTGGGCCAGCCCTGTTTGGCTGGACATTTACCCACTAGGGATGGGTGACTTTGGGTGCTTCATGGGAAACTATTTTATCTATTCTTTTCCTTCTCTTTATTGCACACTAATTGTATTAAATTTCCTTTGGGCCAACCCTGTTTGGCTGGACATTTACCCCAGAGGGGATGTGTAACTTTGGGTGTTTCATGGGAAAACTATTTTATCTCTTATTTCCCTTCTCTTTATTGCATACTAATTGTATTAAAGTTCCTTTCCTTTGAAGGTGTTATGCTCTAAGTATGTTTTGTCTTGATGCAGCAGATGGCAGAACCCATTTAGAACAGGCAGGTTTGGGGTCTCAGGGTGCCCCTCCTCCTGCCCTGGAACAGCATGAGAACTGTGGCCGTACCTGACAACTCTGAGGGGTACCTCCCCCCCACTGCCAGCTTTCTAGTTCTTGCCACAGCCTGGGAAACAGAAAATGCTTGTCGTGGTTTACACTTCAAATATTTGCACTTCTAGATATATGTAGTTGTGAGGCTGTGTGTCTGCCTGGGTGTTTGTATGGGTGCGGGCACACAGTGTGTGTACCTCTATGATTATGAGTATTTGGTTGTCTGTGCAATCATGTTTTGTGTGTGTGTGTGTGTGTGTGTGTGTGTGTCCCTTGATCAGGACAGGGCCTGGGCCCCAGCATGGGTGAGGATGTGGGGCAGAGAATTGGGAAGTCTCCTAGTGCAGTGAGCAGGCTGAAGAGCCACAGGTAGCAATGGTAAGCTGGAAAAATAATGACAAAGACTGGTTGGTGTTGGGAGCGGATCCCCAGAGCCTGAGCATGGGACTGCATTCTGAAGACAGGGCTTTAAAGAGGACACGGAGGTCAGATGGGGTGGCCGGGACAGCCACAGGGAGTGGAGTCAGGCCCCCACACCTCCCCAGTTCTGTTCTAAATGCTCACCATTATTTTAGCGCCTCCTCCCAGCAACCCTGACAAGTAGGCAGGGCGGGTACTGTTACTCAGGTGAGTTGCTCAGGTGGTACAGCGGGCCTCCCATAGCACCTCCCCCTGGCACCCGCTCCCGGGGGCCTCGGACTGCTGGAAGAGAAGGGCCGGCCTGGGAGTCTGTGCCCAGAGCCTCAGAGCAGACCAGCTCCGGGCACTGGCTCCAAATAGGTGTGAGTTCCTGAACTCACAGGAGAATCTGGGTAGGGACAGCTCATCTGCCCCCTGGGCTCTCTGGGGAGGCTGGGGGCAGAAAGGGGAACAGGTTGGTGCAAATTGACCTGCCTGCTTGGACAGTGACGGATGATGTCACCTTTGGCAAACGATTCCCATGTGTGCCCCAGATTGTCCAGAAACCTGAGAAAGTAGATTTCCTGAGAAGCCAGGACAACAAGAGCAACAAGGAGGTGTCCCTAGAGAGTGAGCCGGGGACCCCGGGACATCAAAAAGGCTGTGCACAGACGTGGAAAGATGGTTCCACTTTCTGAAAAGCAAGAGGGTAAGAGCAGGGTCAGAGCAACTGGGCTGTGAATTGGCCATTAGCTGAATGTGTGACATTATTTCACTTCTTCACCGTTACAGTGAGAGTAGTAGCAGTGTCCCTCCTGAGGATTGCTGGGGATGTGTGAGTTAATGCAATTAAAATGCTTAGTGTAGTGTTTGGGCTATTGAGTGCACTAACCAATTACTGCTTGTCACAAGGATGTGAAACCAATACAGATTAGACATAAGTATCAACCTAAACCTACATAGAAACCTGACGACCAACAGGGCTAGTGGCATTACTGCCCTTGACCTGCAAATGTGACTCTGAGCTTCCTTGTGGCCATATCAAAAAGGGAAATGTGATTGGTTATAGAACTTGGATGATCAAGAATGAGGACTCAGCCCAGTACCTCAGGGAAACAATGTTGCTCGGTACTCTGAATTCTCCAGGACATTTCTCACTGGGCAGGCAGTTTCAGAAAGGGCACCATGAGGGAGGCAGTGGGCAGCGTCATTGAGCAGGACTTCCACAGCGTTGTAGGCATGATTTTCATGTGACTGTTGCTTGTAGAAGCCTGAAGAAAAGGCAACGAGAAACCTGGGAAGGCAGCACAGGGGTCAACAGTGTTCGAGGATCAAGAATGTGCTATGGTCTGGGCCCAAGAGACTTTTCATTAGGATCTTTGGACGTCAGGCTCTGGAGTAAGACTTCCCAGCTGGGCGACCTCGGCCCAGTTGCTTTACCTCGCTGAACCTCAATATTCTCTTCTGTGAACTAGTTCTCTTTGTAGGACTATTGAGAACATTGAACAGACTCTTGCACAGCTGTGTTTTAGAGGGGGTGCTCAGATAAGAGTTGGCTATGTTATAGATAAGTTTGTAAATGCTGTATACACACACATATATATACGTATACATTATATATATATATACACACATGGAGATTCCATGTTCCCTGCTCCACCTAATGAAGAGTGGAGCTGAGACTTCAGGGCAAGTTAAAAAGGACTTCGGAGAGGACCTGGAGGAGGCACATGGAGCAGAGAGACAGGTGAAGAAGCCGTGCTTGCTTCTGGGCCTTGGACTTGTGCCAGGGACTTGGGGGACGTGGAGGGACACACTTGAAGGAGACAGAGACGTGGGTGGGAGACCCGTGGGGAGCCTGACCACGGCAGCCTTGATCTTGATGTTGATGTTGCTCCTTTCCTTCCAGACTTGCCTGGCCTCTTCTGCCCCTTCCCTGTGGGTCCCACCAGCAAGGACCTTAGCCTGGCGGCGGGCTTTCGGGCCTCAGAGATCCTGCTTTGGGCCAGTCCTGTTTGGCTGAGCACTTCCCCGCGAGGGGGTGGGTAGCTGTGGGTGTTCCACTGGCAAACTATTCTGTCTTCTCTCTGTCCACAAAATTCTACCACAGTTCTCTTCTATTGAAGTTCTTACACGCTAAGAATATGCTTTGTCTGAAGGCAGTGAATGGCAAACCCATTTAGACGGTGCAGGTTTAGGGTTCTTGGGCGCCCCTCGGTGTGCCCGCTCACATATGTATCTCCATATATATTTGTATAGTCATGCTGCCCCCCACCCACCCCGGTTCTGCCGTCTTCAAAGACTATGAGTAACGAGTTTTATAGCCCCTTCCAATTTATAATTGGCAAAGGAATCATTGCCATGTCACAGCACTCCAACAGCATGACTTCCTCCCAGCCCCCCCCTTGGGGCCCTCCCCCCTGGAGAGAGGAGGAGAAGGTTGCTTAGAGGATATGGAAGTCCTTGCCTGTGTTGCCCTGAACTTGCCCTCAAACCCAGGGCCAGGGAATCAAGTGGGCGGGACGCCCTGGTCTTCTGGCCCCTCCTGTCTTCCCAGACAAAGGCTTTGAGGAGGCGAGAAGGGCAGCAACGTGATAGTAACATCAACACAGTCTGCCGGGCAAAGGTGCGCACCCTGTGCCTGGTACTTCACCTGGGATGTTTAATCCTCTCAGCCATCCCCCAGGTTAGACACCACTAGGGCCGAGCAGAAAGGCAGCTGGGGTGCAGAGAAGACACTAACTTGCTAAGGGTCACAGGCGTTTCATGCCCACAGATGATGTGGACGCTGGGGACTGGGAGGGGGACTCATGCCAGTTGGGGACACCGACTCACTCAATTCCTGTTGGGATGAGGAATGAGGGGTGCAGGCACAGACCTGCTCAGTGGGTGTCAGCACCCCCTAGGGCCGGGGAGGCCTGGCCTCTGCTCCAAATGAAAAGATGTGGCCTCTGACCCCAGCTACTGCCAGCCCCGCTGGCCAGAGAGACGTGACGTTGTCTGTGTCCGGCTCGTCTCTGCAGAGACTGCATGGTTCTGGGTTCTGCCTTCTCGCCCTTCAGCAGAGCTCAGGCACCCGGCCCACTGCCAACAAGGGGGGTGGCAGGATGGGGAGATGGCCAGGTGTGACTTCTCCACCTTCTGAAGTCACACTCCTCTTTTAAATTCAGCTCAGAGATCTCCTGCCCCAGAAAGCCAGGGGTACCAGGGCTGGGGAACACCCCTCCTTGGGGCTGGTTGGGGTACCTGGCCTTGCCCTGGCCCAGTACTGTCTCTGCCTGTGACTCGGTGCTTCTGTGGGAAGAGACCCTGAGGAAGCCATTTCCTTGTTCCTGAGCCTGCACGGCCCAGCTCAGGGGACGTGGACACATTCATTTGTTCCCCAAGGACACACTCGGTGGCTGTCATCAAATCATGGTTTGGGGGGCAATGTAGATGATGGCCAAGAGCCCAGATTCTGCAGCCCTGGTTCAAACCCTGTCTCTCCTACCCGTCTGGATGCCTTAGGGCAGCGTCTCCCCCTCCCGAGGCCTTGTTTCAGCCCGTCTGGGCCCTTCAGGGCCACGACGTGCCCAGCACAGTCCCTGCTACACACTATCATCAGGCCCACCAGTCACACTTCACCTGACTGTGGAAATGGGAGGCAGCTGCTGGGTTCCCGTCTTCTCGTGCACTCTAGTGCCACACAGAGCCCTTGGGACGCCTCTAGAATACCATTCCAGCCTGCAGGGTGGGACAACACCCAAGCTGAAACCCGGAGTCTCCTGAGCCTAGCGTCTGCCATGGAATTTTCCAAGTGGTTTTTATTTAATAAAATCAAAAGAGGACTTTTATGCAATAAAATGTAACCTCAAACCCATTAAGGAGCAGTAATGAATTTATATGGAGGAAGGTTGGCGTTGTTTGTAAAGAAGCATCCATTGGCTGTCTTTTTTTTTTTCTTAAAGATTTATTTATTTATGCATACAAGAGCTGAGGCACAGGCCAGAGATGCAGGAGGGTGAGAGGATTCACCAGAGACAGAGCGGGGAACAGAACAGGCAGATTGACTGAAATACACTGCTGAGGGGAGCAGCGGGCGAGACAAGAGAGGTCTGCCTCGCCATGTGTGTTGCACCCTGGCAGGCCGGGGATAGAACTCATGCTGCAGAGGCTTGGATTGCTTCATAGTGCGGTGCTTAACGCCTTGCGCCACCAGGGAGGCCCCCATTGGCTGTCTTGCCGAGCTAAAACAGTTGCTTTGGAGCAGATGGGGAGAACTTAGATGGTGGAAAGTACATGGGCTCTGGGGGTGCCAAAGCCCTGGATTCAAGCTGCAGCTGGTATCCTGGGGCCCAATACAATCACTGGTATATGCTGAGGGTTTCCTGCATCCCAACGCTCACCTAAATGCTCCTCATTCCCGGTGCTGCTGTTCTTACTTATACTCTGCTTATAAATGAGAATTCCCATTTTACTGAGTGAAAACTGAGGTTCAGAGAGGGTAAGTCCTATGCTCAAAGCCACACAGCTGGTGAGTGGCTGAGGCTGGTTTTGAACCATACACGTGAGCTCAGCCTTCAAAACCTCCCAGGCTTGCAAGCGCCTGTGTCTCGGCTTGTTCTCCCATAAACCGGGAAACCGTCCAACAAGGTTATTAGGGGGTTGTGGGAAGTCCTGGTGAAGTTGTCTGGCACATAGTAGGTGCCTCATGGCTGTTTTCAGTGCTGTTGTCAGCACTGTTTTCAAATGGTGCTGACAGCAGGGCCTGTGTCCCCGAATACCCAGAGAGAATGAGGCTTCATCCTTGGGGTCTCAGTTTCCATAACTCTAAACATGAGTGATGACACCTGTCTGGAAAAGCCCCAGGGAGACGAAATGACATGATTGAATTACGGTTCTTAGCACATAGCAGGTGCTTCGGGCACATAGTGGGTACTCTGAGCAGTTCCTTTTCTGTCTCTGGGTGTCCATCACAACCTGGAATGGCATTTCCTGGTCCCCCTCCCCCAGATATATTTGCATCATGACATCTGCACCCTCTCCTCTGTTCCACCTTTGCTCAGGCTCTCAGCTGGGATTAGCTGTGGGGGACCCGAAGGGCCTGGATGATCGATCCTGGGTCCATTGCTTAGTCACTCAGCCTCTCCAAGTTGCTGGTTCCTCCTCTGCAAACTGAGCATAATCACAACAGATCATCTCTCTGGCTGAGACCTGGATCCAACCTCTGCCTCCTCTTTCTTCTCTGCAGGTGTTTCTAGCTGTGCACGGGGACTGACTAGCCGAGGACCCCCGCGGAAGAGCTTCAGACACCGTAGGAGCGCATGGTAAGGGACACTTGTGATCAGATTTCCCAGGGTACCAGTGGAGGACCACTGGCAAGGTGGGAGCACCGGAGAATGCCAGCTTGGCTGTTCTCTGGGTTTGGGACACACAGCTGGGACCAATTTCATTGCACCCCAATTACACAGCTCTCCTTCATTGCCATTGGCATTGTTGCAATTTTTGTGAGATGTTGGGAATTTGTTGATGAATGCTCATCTCCCTCACCAGACTGTGAGGGGAAGCAGAGGGTCCCAAGGAGGCAACAAAACATCTTGTCAAGAGGATAGGCTCTGAAGTGGGTTTAACTCCCGGCTCTACCTCTTCCCAGCTGTCTGACCTTGGGCAAGTGACTTAAACTCTGCACTTCAGTTTCTTTTTCTGTACAGTGGGGTTCATGACCTACCTCCCTACCTCATTGAGCTGTTTCAAAGATTAAAGGAGTTTGTATAGGTCAAGCCTTCAGACAGTACCCGGTGTTTAGGCAGTGCTGGAGAGGCTGAATAAAGTAAAATATGAAACAAGAAACGGTGAAACCACCAAATGGCCTTTTTTCAGGGAGGGCGTTGGGACCCACCTCTTAAAGCCCATTCCAATCAGGCTTCCCCTAACAGCCCCTGTGCTCCCTCGCAGACAATGGAAGATTATAACAACTCCCTCGTTTACGATGATGAGTATGAAGAGCATGACCCCATCGTGGTTTTGGAGGAGTTATCGAGCCTGGAAGGCGGCTTTGCCAGAATCTTCCTGTTGGTGATCTACAGCATTGTCTGTTTCCTCGGGATCGTGGGCAATGGCTTGGTGATCACCATTGTCTCCTTCAAGATGAAGAGGACGGTGAACACGGTCTGGTTCCTCAACCTGGCCGTGGCAGACTTCCTGTTCAATGTCTTCCTCCCCATCTACATCGCCTACGTCGCCATGGACTACCACTGGGTTTTTGGGAAGGCCATGTGCAAGGTCAGCTACTTCCTGCTCATCTACAACATGTACACCAGCGTCTTCCTGCTGACTGTCATCAGCTTGGACCGCTGCATCTCTGTGGTCTTCCCGGTCTGGTCCCAGAACCATCGTAGTGTCCGGCTGGCTTACATGGCCTGTGTGTTCATCTGGGTCCTGGCTTTCGTCTTGAGCTCTCCGACCCTCGTCTTCCGGGACACGGTCGATCGGCAAGGGAAAATCATCTGCTTCAACAACTTCAGCCTGTCAGCGGCTGGCTCTGCCCCACACCTGGCTCACCTCGGACAGGACCCTGTGGGCTTCAGCCAACAAATGGCGATAACCATCACTCGCTTCGTCTGTGGCTTCCTGGCCCCGGTCCTCATCATCACAGCCTGCTACTTCACCATCGTCTGCAAGCTACGGCGCAACCGCCTGGCCAAGACCAAGAAGCCCTTCAAGATCATCATGACCATCATCATCACCTTCTTCCTCTGCTGGTGCCCCTACCACACGCTCAACCTCCTGGAGCTCCACCACACTGCTGTGCCCAGCTCTGTCTTCCACCTGGGTTTGCCCCTGGCTATGGCCATCGCCATTGCCAACAGCTGCATGAACCCCATTCTCTACGTCTTCATGGGTCAGGACTTCAAGAAGTTCAAGGTGGCCCTCTTCTCCCGCCTGGTCAATGCTCTGAGTGAGGACACTGGCCATTCCTCCTTCCCCAGCCACAGGAGCTTTACCAAGATGTCCTCGGTGAACGAGAAGTCCTCGGTGAACGAGAGAGAGACCAGCATGCTTTGAATGCACAGGAGATGCCCAGCCGACACTCTCAAACTTGGAGCCCCAAAACCATGCCTTTTCAAGACCACAGCCGGAATGTCTTCAGCACCCCCATGAACTACTTCTGCATGGGTATGAACAGCGTTTAGGGCTGGGAATTCAGGGCTTGGGACCCTGTTCTTCATGTGGCATGTGGAGGAATGCCATCTTGGTCACAGCCTTACGCCAGCATCCCTTTTGGGGAGACTTGCCTTGAACAGTGCAAGGCAAAAAAGGGAGCATTCTCAAGGGCATTGCCATGGACAGTGGGATTAAGCTACCTACTATGCTCACCCCAGGAAAGACTCGAGCACTCCACATGCCCATTCCTGGTGTGAGCAGAGAATGTCAGAGTAAACCCAATGTCATGCAGCTCACACTCACCCTGTATACCTTAATCAGCTGTGGCCAGAAATCCCGCCACTCAAGCCTGTGCAAATGCCCAGCTTTCCTGGGAGGAAGAGGACCTATGAGGCCACCACCTTCCAAGGCCTGGCACTTGGCTTTCAGGTTAGCTGTGAAGACAGACAATAGGTCCTAGGGTCACGTGAGCTCTCTGCTAGAACAAGAGAAGGGGGGCTGCAGTGAGGACTCGGGTCTGGGGGAAGAAGACCCTTCAAAGAGCAGCTCACTCTGGAACTTTCCACACCATGGTGCTATAGGACTCAGCTGTTTTGGGGGGTGAGCAAGGGGTGGCACCCCGCTCTGCTCTTACTTTGCACTTCTTAGCGGGACAGTCTGAGATAGGTATGACTGCAGCCTCCACCTCTTCCCAGGGATTCTTCTCTCCTTCCTAATCCACTTGGTGTTGGCTGGAGGCGTCCAGAAGGAAGCATTCCAGGGCCAGGCATGGGAGTGGAGGTGGGGGCGTGGGAGTGGGCTGGGCATCCCTTTCTTCTCCACTGCCTCCAAGCCTTGCTAGACAGCGGCCCCAAGCTGGGTTCCACCAGCACCCTGGGAGCACATGCAGGACAAAGCAGAACCTGGAGCCTGATTCTGCGCAGAAGCACCTCTGTGCACAGCACACTACTTTCCTCATCTAGCGCGACAGCTTCCAGAGCTGCAGTGTCTGTCCCGCTTGCAAACGACAAAGCTCAAACTCGGAGAAGGAAGAAATTCATTCAGCATCACACAGTGAGCCAGAGACAGAGTTAAGATCTGAACTCAGCTTGGTCTGGCCCCAGAACCCTGTTCTTTTATGGAGAATGTATCTGTTGAGAATATTCTAGCCGATAATACTACCCTATGTTATTTAGCACTTCCTATGTTAAGCACTTTATATGTTATCTCATTTATTCCTACACCAGCCCTGAGTTAGGTACAATTATTACTTTGCCTTTACGTATATCAGAGGTTCACAGAGGTTTAGTAACTTGCCTGAGGTGCCCAGCTGGTCCCTGCCAAAGCTTGGATTTAAACTTACCCCTCGCTCAAGGAAAGTTGCAGAATCTTGGGGTTTTGACCATAAATATAGAATCCTCAGTGGGTTAATGCAAACATCTTAACAGCCTTTAAATCAGCTTTGCAAATCGTTCTCAAAAATTATCTAACAGGGCCTCCCTGGTGGCGCCGGGGGTTAAGACACAGCCTGTGAAGCTGTCCGCAGTCTCTGCAGCTTGAGTTTGATCCCCGGCCAGCCAGGGAGCAACCCACATGGCGCAGCAGACCTCTCCTGACTCACTCACTGCTCCCCTCAGCAGTGCACTTCGGTCAATCTGCCTGTTCTGCTCCCCACTCTGTCTCTGGTGAATCCTTTCACCACCACCCCACCACCACCTCTGGCCTATACCCCAGCTCTTGTATGCATAAATAAATAAATCTTCTTTAAAAAAAAAAAAAAAGATTCAACATGGCAAAGAAAATGCACTTGGCCTTCTTCCTTGATGCCCATCAGCATGCACCCAGCAGGACCCCCACCTCCTGCACCCCGGGAGCACTCCAGAAGGCAGTGGGGAGAGAATCCTGGCAGGAAGCAGCCTCTTGTGGACTCAAGGCCCTCTGGCCCCCAAATGTCCACATTCTGTTCTCTTGCAAATCTCTTAGTTGCGAAGCCAGCTCTCCAACAAGATACAGTGAACAGATGTAGTGTCTGCATGTCAGGCAGGTTCCCGAGGCCACGGGCTGTTTGGAATCACAGCTCATTAAGAGACAAATTGTTCCTTTTCTCCTTGGGTCTTCATGCTGATGACAAGGCAGCGCTGAATTGACCCCAGTTGGGGCCTCCACTTGCCTCAAACAGTCTGAACATGGGCAGTTTGAGAGCAAAAGGGGAGCCTGCAGGGCTGCCCAGTGCACCCCCCCCCACCTCCCTCTCCAGTGGAACAGAGGGAGCAGCTAAGGCACAAGGTGCCCTGGGCCCTCTCCAGGCCCCAGAGGGGACATCAGCCACCCGGGACTCTACCCCCCAGGGCCGTGCTGCTTCCTCAGGCCCAGTTTCTCGCTCCTCCTGGGCTGCGTGAAGGACAGGCCCAGCAGAGCTGGGAATCATTTTGTCACTGGGAAAGCTGATGAGCAGGAGCAAAATTCAAACCGGCTGTTTTCCCCTTTCGCGTCAGCCTCCTTCTTTCTGGCTGCCCACCAGTCTTCCTGCTCTGACTGTGGTTTCCCATTAAAAATCCAAATGCAGGGGCCTGCCGGGTAGCACAGCGGGTTGAGCGCTGCTCTGTGAAGCTGTCCGCAGCCTCTGCAGCGCGGGTTCAATCCCGGCCGGCCAAGGAGATTCCCACATGGCACAGCAGACCTCTCCTGTCTCGCCCGCTGCTCCCCTCAACAGTGTCTTCGGTCCTTCTGCCTGTTCTGCTCCCCACTCTGTCTCTGGTAAATCCTCTCACGCCCCACACCTCTGGCCTGTACCCCTGCTCTTGTATTAATAAATAAATCTTTAAAAAAAATCCAAATGCACCCACAACCGTCCCTTTAACCTCATCCTTACAGCTCCTTCTGAGGCCCTGGCAGGGGGCATGTATGCCCCGGGGCTCACAAACTGTGCTCACTTGCATTATTGCATAGGCAGCCAGCGGAGGCCCCTCCCATGGAGCCAGGGTCTGGCCAGCTGGGCCTCAGAGCTCCTCCCGGGTGGGGTGGGTGGCTGACGGGGCAGGGGAAGCAGGCAGAGGCACAAGAAGAGAAGAGGGTGCTTGGGGACAGGTCAGGAGGAGAGAGACGCATGGAGGACATGGAGAATGGCGATGAGGGAAGTGGCCGATGTTAGCCAAGTGCCATCAGCAGTCACAAAGCCTCATCAAACTATCAGAAGGGTCTTGCGGGGAGGCCCTCCGCAGGATGGGTGATGCAGAAAGGGCCCGCCTCCCTTGTTCGGGGCCACACAGGCAGCAAACCACAGAGCTGGGCTGTGAGCCGGTTTTTCTGCCTGAGCTCCTGTGCCCAGAAGCTTCCTTCCACACGTTCATCCATGCATCTGCTTACCCACCCATCACCCACCAGCCTAATCCCCTTAACGTCCCGCCCATTTACCCCAACATCCCTCCACTCATCTCTTCCCACACCTGTCAGGCACCCATCCATCTGCACACCCAACTCTGCACCCATCCTCTCCTCCAGGTCATAAAATTGATTTAATACCTACTCTTTGCCAGGCCCCGTGGCTGGCACTGGGAATACGGGCATGACCAGGACGCACACAGCCTCTGTCCTCGTGAGCTCGTTCACTGGCTAGTGGGAGAGACAGCCAATAATTTTTAAAAACACACCCCAGTGGGAAAGACAATAGTGCGTGCTGCACTCATATGATAAAGGTCTGACCTTGCTCCAAGGCCAAGGAAACTCCCTCGGGGAAGATGCAGGAGATGTGCAGGCCGCAGGCGTGGGCTTGGCGGGGTGTGGGAGAGGGGACTCCCCGCAGAGGGCACGGCGTGGCCGGGGCCTGATGTGGTAGAGAGGAGGGCGAGGCCAGATGCAGGGTGAAGGGGCAGCCTCTGCAGGCGAGTGGCCTGCCTGGACCTGCGTCTGGAAGCGAAGCGGCTGCTCTGGGGAGGGCAGAGCGCGTCAGGCAGGAGGGGGCCCCCCCCGCACTGTCTCCAGGGGGATCGTGATGGCGTGTGGCCTGCCAAAGCCACGGTGGAACTCAGAGATTACTCAAAAGCTCCCCACCCTTGGTCAGGGGAGCAGTTAGTGAGACACCAAGCCAGGGCCCATTTCAGCTGCGCAGAGTCCTCGCTGCATTGCTTTATTGACGGAAATTAATTGTAAATATTATTCAAATTTACCTCCCAGTGCACAATTATATTTCTCAGGGGAGCCCTCTGAGCACATAATAAAGCCCTATAAATAATACATATATTAACCTAAGAGGAAGGGAGGCATGCTAATGCAGCATCGCCCACCGCGATGCGGGAATTTATGCAGATGAGACTCCCAAGTCACTGGATTCAGGGCTTGACTTCAGAAGTCTCCCCGAGTCCTTTCCTGGGGACTCACCAAGGTGTGGGTTCCCTCTAGGCCCTTCCATTTTCATTATCTCACTGAGTCCTTATTATCTCCGCGTGCAGAGGAGGAGATCGAGGTTCAAAGAGGTGCAGTGCCTTGCCCAGTGTCACACAGCCAGTGACAGCTACGATGTGACCTGCGGTCTGATTCCCAAGCCACTCGCACACATAAGCTCTTCTTTGAAGAGGACGTCCCTGGAGGGAGCAGAGCAAGGTGTGATCTCTCCCCAGAGCCTGTTCTAAGGAATTGGGAGCGGGGAAAGTCACTGAGGGGTGACTTTTTCCTTTGGGAGGAAATAGTGTCCTGATGGGTTTATCACTTCCTCTTAATCCTGGGGATCTTAAGATTATTGTTTGGGGGCCTCCCTGGTGGCTCAAGGGGTTAAGCACCACACTGTGAAGAAATCTGCAGCCTCTGCAGCACGAGTTCAATCCCCAGCAGGCCAGGGAGCAACCCACATGGCGAGGCAGACCTCTCCTGTCTTGCCTGCTTCTCCCCTCAGCAGTGTATTTCAGTCCGTCTGCCTGTTCTGTTCCCCGCTCTGTCTCTGGTGAATCCTCTCACCCCCCCACCCCACATCTCAGGCCTGTACCCCAGCTCTTGTATGCATAAATAAATAAATCTTCAAAAAAATTATTGTTTGGAAGAGGCTCTATTTCATCAAGTTCATCTCTGCCCATGTTCCCATTTTATAGATGGTAAAGTTGAGGTGTCTTTGCAAATAAGATTGGGAGACCGCCTCCATCACTGCTGTGAGATTCGGGCAAACACGCTCGTGTGTCACTTTTAAAGACCTGGGCATTCACCAAACTGCCCTCTTCATGTTTTAATTTGCTGACAAAGGCTTTGGTGCTCAGCCACCCAAGAGGGCCTCTGCTCGGGATCTGGGAATCACTGTGAAGTTTCCAGCAGAATCCTGGCTGACGTGGAGGCAGGAGATCTTGGAAAAACCCAGTACGGGGCAAAGACACACTGTATTTAGGGCAAAAACTTTACCCTTCAAAGATGTCCTGGATACAGGTGAGGGATGCTCTCTCTTGATCTAGTGGTGGTTATGTGATTTTCTGTGCAAAAACCCACTTATCTGTACATATAAGTTGGATGCACTTACTGTATTCAGTAATGCCACAATAAAAGGTTTTTTTTGTTGTTGTTGTTTTTTTTTTTTTTTTGGTGGGACCCTTGTTGGCGGCCAGGGAAGGAACTGGCGCTGCAGAGGTTGCGGGCAGCCTTGCAGCCCAGCGCTCAACCGCTGCGCCACCAGGGGAGGCCCTGAAAGTATTTTTAAAAGTAAAGTAATTCGGGCCTCCCCGGTGGTGCAGCAGTTGAGCGCTGGGTTGCGAAGCTGCCCGCGGCCTCTGCGGTGCCGGTTCGATCCCCGGCTGCTCCCCGGCCACTGGAGGAGGGTCCCACATGGCGCGCAGACCTCTCCTGCCGCCCGCTGCTCCCCTCAGCAGTGTACTTCGGTCCTTCTGCCTGTTCTGCTCCCCGCTCTGGCTCTGGTGAATTCTCTCACCCTCCCGCGCTTCTGACTGTACTCAGTGCTTGTATAAAAAAAAAAAAAAAAAAAAAGTAAAGTAATTCACAGCGTCTGCGGGATGACTCCCACTTCCCTCGGAGTCCTGCACAGTCAGGTCTGGCGGCTTCTCTCTGATTCAAAAGAGCATCTTTAAGGAAGGAGGTGCCAGCAGGGTCCATGCAAAGAGGCAGCAGCTCAGGGAGGACTGAGCCCTCCCAAAAGGGACTCAAAAGGTCTTTGGCGGTTCTGACACAGGATTGCACGTTCCCAGGAGCCAGATGGCCTGGGCTCGGCTTCTGCTCTTCATATACACGAGCTGGTATGGGCTAGGGTTTCATCTCTCAGACCTTGTGCAAACTACTTGACATCTCCAAAGGTTTAGTTCTCATTTCTAAAATGAGTCTAACAAGAGTTTGCTGCCCATGAGGTTGCCTGGAGGGTTAAATGAGATGCCACACGTGCATGCAGCAGATGTGGGGCTCACATGAGCCCCACTCTTTCATCTGGATGTGCATTGCCTCCTCACTGGTCTCCCCACTTCCAGGTTGACCCCCTCACCACTCACACTCCCCAAAGCAGCCCGAGCAAGCACCCATCACAGAGCCCAATAATCCAGTCCCTTTCTCATGATTGAGAAGACCCGAGAGGACCAGCTTTGCCTGCCCCATCTTCTCCGGATCCTTTCTGCCTCCAAACCCAAAGCAAAGCAGAACAAAGGGGTCATCCGCAGCAGCAATGCACCCAAGTCTGCTCCCCCTGGGGCCTTGGCACTTGCTGTCTGGCTGTCCCTGGGCCACTGATGCCTGCCGGGCCACTCCTGCCCTGCAGGTCTCCGCGCAAAGGCCACATCCTTCCTGACCTGACCCCTGGCAAAGTTGTCCCCATTCGCCGTCTCTCAGATCCCTTGTTTCTGTTTCATTACCCTCCTTCCTGCCATCTGGAATGATTTTATTTGTTTATGTGTTTAGCTGTCTTAAGCCTGTCCCCCTCTGGGCAGAATGCTCAGGGCAGAGGCCCTGTCTGCCTTGCTCACCTCTGCAGCCAAGCGCCCGGGGCAGCGCTCAGCACACGAACAGTATCTTGTTGAACAAATGAAGAGCGAACCCTAAGAGGACCCTATTTCTATCATCATTCTCCTCCTCCTCATCATCATCCTTATCACGTGTCGTGACTATTGCTCCAATACATCATTTCCAAAATGTGGTCACAGTTTTTTCTATCTTGGCGAAACTTGCAGGGGTGGTGGGTTGGGTTAGCCCCCATTCCACAGGCATGGACACTGAGGCCAGGTCACTGAATTAGGAAGCGGAGGAGTCAAGGCTCTTTCCCTTGTACTATCAGGCACAGCCACAAAGGAGGTTTCCATTAAGTCCTCCCTCCCCTGGCCTGTCCCTTCCCCTTTGTCTGATTAATTGCAGCCTGAAAATAAAGGAACCAGATGCCTGCCCCCTCCTCTCCCTCTTCCTATTGTTTTGTGGTTCTTTTCCAGACCAGGACTCGGTTAAGGATTTGGCCGATACAAGCATGACCACAAACTTCCTGTGTTTGTCCTTCCATTTGGAAATCATGGATGGAGCAATCCACTGGGTGCCAGGTCTGTGCTGGGCACTGGGTGATACCTGGTGACTGAGTGTCGCTGGGGCCCAGATGCCTAGCACTGGGAGAGGCAGAACCCAGTGGTTTGTCCATACAGATGTTTGGGCTGCCCAGGTCCAGTGCTCTACTGGGAAGGACTGACTCATGACAGGCTTTCGGCCTGGGGACAAGCGGTCTGCGGCAATTCCACAGCCCTCCTCTCACTTCATCCTCATCGGAAGCCTGAAGGGCAAAATCCCTTAACTCTAGAGATGAAGAAACTGAAAATGTTACAGGGCAGGGGCACCCCAGAACCCCCAAACCTGCTTGCTCTAAATAGGTTCTGCTGTCTGCGCATTAAGACAAGACATACGCTAGTGCATGAGACCTTCAATGAAAAAGAAATTTTATACGATTAGTGTGCAATAAAGAGAAGAGAAGAGACACTAGAGTTTCCAAATCAAGCACCCAGTGTTACCCATCTCCTCATGGGCAAACACCCAGCTGAACAGGGTTGGCCCAAAGCGGAACCGCTGAGGCCCCAAAACTTGCTACAAGTCTAAGGCCCCTTCTGGTGGGCCCCACAGGAAAGGGGCATAAGGGGCCAGACAAGTCTGGAAGGAAAAGAGCAAAATCAATATCAAGATAAAGATTGCCATTGTCAGGTCTCTCACCCACGTCTCTGTCTCTTTCAAGTGTCTCCTTCAGTGTCCCTCAAGCCCCTGGTGCAAATCCAAGACTGAGAAGCAAGCTCAGCTCCTTCAATTCACCTTTCTCTCTGCTTCATGCACCTCTCCAGATCCTCTTCTTGATCTCCTTCCTCCCTGCCCAGCTCCAAGCAGGGAATTGAAAACTTCCCTTTCCCTGGGACCACCCTATCCCAAAAGGGGCCAAGTAATGTTTCCCAGAACCACAAGTATAGTCAGCCATTGATTTTATTGAGCACCTACTATGTGCCCGGCACCATACCCAGCTCTGGGCACAGTCAGTGGTCACCATCCTTTCTTTTTTTAATAAAGTTTTTAAAAAAGATTTATTTATTTATACAAGAACTGGGGTACAGACCAGAGGTGCAGGAGGATGAGAGAATTCACCAGAGACAGAGCAGGGAACAGAACAGGCAGACTGACGAAATACACTGCTGAGGGGAGCAGCGGGTGAGACAGGAGAGGTCTGCCGCGCCATGTGGGAATCTCCCTGGCTGGCCAGGAATTGAACCTGCACTGCAGAGGCTGCGGGCAGCTTCACAGCGCAGCACTCAACCCGCTGCGCCACCAGGGAGGCCCAATGGTCACCATCCTTATTGTTATGAATCAATCCTACAATATTAGTGTGTACATGAACTGGGACTTTTTTACCCATGTCTGTAGAGCTTTGTGGTTTATACTGTTTCACTGGATGTGCTGCTTTCTGAGTTATATGTATTAGGTTTAGAGGAATTTGTACAGAAGGGAGAGAAAGGCTTTTTCTTATAAAGTCTTGAACCTCTTGGGAGTGAGAGGAAAAACACTTCTTGGCTGCAACTCGCTGAATTGAGATTGACTCTGGGAGTCAGGATGCAGCTGTCAGTAACTGCCCTCCTTCCCGACTCCTCTAAGTAGGAGAGTGATCTGATCCGACAGTTCTCCCAGTCCTTGGAAGAGTAGCAGGGAACTAGCCCTGCTTAACCCAAACGAATGGCTGCTAAACGTGGACTTGCAGGTACCCAGGTGGGTTGAAGGAGCAAGAACTTGGGAACAGAACAGGATTTCATGGTCTCCTTCCAGGATCACCTCAGGGACAACTGAAATTTCAGCTTGTTGGAATCTGAAAGGTTACTCATTTCTGGTTCTTGGATTTCTCAGGCATGTCACCCACTTGGAAACCTCATGCTGGGCCTCTGACCACAGCACGTTCAAGGGTGTGGATAGGTAGATATGTGGAAATGGCTTGTTTGGTCTTTCTTTTTTAAGATTTATTTATTTATTTCTACAAGCACTGGGTACAGTTAGAAGCGCGGGAGGGTGAGAGAATTCACCAGAGACAGAGCGGGGAGCAGAACAGGCAGACCGATGAAATACACTGCTGAGGGGAGCAGCGGGCACGGCAGGAGAGGTCTGCGTGCCATGTGGGACCCTCCCCGGCAACCAGGGATCGAACTGGTGCTGCAGAGGCTGTGGGCAACTTCGCAACCCAGCGCTCAACCGCTGCGCCACCAGGGGAGGCCCGGCTTGCTTGGTCTTAATATGGCAAAGCTGACAGGGCCCTTCTGGTCTGCTGAGGAGAGCCCCTTCCCAAGATTCTTGGTGGGAAAACAGTCCCCCGGTTCCAGGGGAAGATCCCAAAAGTCCCCATGCCCAGCAACTGTGCTCTCTGCTCTTCAACGCAATCATCTTTTCAAAGCCTCAGTATTTTTCTCGTGTTTTGGTTTGGATACATCAGCCCACATTAATCTGAGAAGCAAAGAGGCAGAAGATGAATGTATCTTAAAAAGCTGGGACTATAAACGATATGAATAACATTCCTGATAGTCCATGCCCATTAGCATTCACCTTTGGACTCACAGTTTGAAATAAACAAAGCAAAGGTAGGAAAATGTCAGATTTGTGAACAGGAGGGTCTGGGCTGCAAGTAACAGAAAGCTCAGCTCAGAATGAGGAAAGCGCTTTCCTTCACCTAGTAAGAACCCCTGTGGGTTGGGAATGCTGTAACTCAACAATGACGACGAAGTCAAGGACCTGAGTGTTTCCTTCTCTCTGCTCTGTCGCAGCAAATGGTCGTTGTCCCCTGGATGACATCTCTCCTACAGGACATTGTTCCCTGGTTGGGTAGTGTCAGATGTCCCAGCCCCAGCAGATTCCCTCACGTCATCAGTCCAAACCGGGTCAAATGGTGACGGTTAAACAAATCAATGACAGGGAAGGGAGATTGGCTTGGATCAATAAGGGTCTTCCCAGAAGATTCCTCAGAGGGCAGTGGCCATTCAAACACAACCAGAGTCCACATCAGGAAGAAAGGAAAAGGGTTCGAGATGGACACCCAGTGGAGTCTCCAGCATGG